AAACCTGGCCATTTTTTGTGGGTATCAGGGGATTTGCGTGGAACGCCAAGGTTCCGGCTCGGCCGTGCCATCCACCCGTGTCCTTACCCGCCTCCGGTCTTCTTGACTGTCTTGGAACCGAGTGCAGGCGGGGGAGAAGGAGAGAGTGTGGTAGATGCTGTGCAAGTCAACATTAACTATAAATTCATTCCCTCGCAAGTCACCGCCCCTACTTCACCTGGCTGTGGAGCACACGGTGGACAACTTCGGCAACGATGTACACTGCCACTCACAAGATCTTTTTGATTTTTTATTCAGCGTTGTCATATTTTATTTAGCACGGCAAGGTTCGACCTGACAGGCATGTTGAGTTTCGCTTTCTGTCTTTCTCACCCATTTCATGCCCGTCCGAGTGCAGTTTCTACCGTGTTTCGTGGAGAACTTATCGACAAGCCAATAGCAATCTGCTGAAGACAGTAACCGCTCCCAGTTTAAGGAATAAAAACGTGTGGTAGGGATAGTGTTGGCAGGCAGCTCACTGTTAAGATACGAGTCTAATTCAAAGAACAGCCTAGATTTTATTTCCTGCATGACGCAGGAGTGATCGTCTGTACATAAGACAATAAATAAAGATGGAACATTAACAACTGGTTGAATGTTCTTTGAGCAGAATTTTCCCGGCGTGTTCGTGTTTTGGCCAGAATGAATCTCCTTAAAACAGATAATTTTAGGCAACAAAAGAATTCGTGATGACTTGTCGGTTGTTTCCTGTTGCCTCGAACTTCGATGCCAACGACCTCCACCGTATGCTGTACAACAGGGCGAGAACAGGGACGGTGACTTGTGCATGAATTAGTTTAAAGTAATAGTGGACTTGCGCTGCATCTACCACACTTTCTCCTCCATCGCCACCTGGGCCCGGTGTCAGGACAGAGTCAAGAAGAACGGAGATGGGGAAGAAAGCGGGTGGTTCGCACAGCATAAACCCATATCTAGGCGTACCGCCACGCCACTGGTCCACAACGTACACAGACTAGGATTTTACACAGCAATAGGAGACGGGGGCGGGTCGGACCCCACGGAGTGGGACTACCATAGAAGCCCTATAAGGAGGAAGCCATTGCCGCCTGACGTTCAGTCCATTAGACCGACACTCCACACATATGCTGGGTTGTCTACTAGGTGCAAGTTATTGTGTCAATTGGCAATCTTCCAAACCACGACTTTTAGCACACCCTAATAGCTTTCAAGCGCGTAATGAAAAGGGTCTGTGATGTCAACCTCAACCCTCTATTCCCATTTCCAAGCCTTAATCACTATCCGAACCAATCAGAGGCAATGATCGGGTGAAGGACCCCAAACACACGACCAGCCAAAGGGGTAAAGACAGGGAGAAGGCTCCCAAGCATCTGTAGCACACAAAGAATACCTACTCATTTAAGTGGTTTTAGGTCCGACACGATTATTTCGGTTTGGCCTTTCATCGTTCAAGGTTAGATCTTCCTGTTGTAGACGGTCTGATGCATAATCTACAATGATCTCAGCTCAGGGAGTGGAGAAGCGATCGTTGTGGACACTTAATGCTTGTTTTCTTAATGGTCCTGCTTAATTTTGCTTGCTATATGTCAGTGCATTAAAACTCGTCCATCCGAAAAACGAATTTATCAATTACCTATACTTATTTTGTCATTCCTCTATGCATACAAAGACCCCGCCCGTAAAACTCCTATTACCACAGTTTCCCGTAAAACAGGCACCTTTGGCGGCAACGATCGGGTGAAGGTCAGATGTCTAGTGCGGGGAATTGGCGCAGTGGCCGACATACAAAGTGACCTTGTCTGCCCACACACCCCCATAACCTTCAAGCGCGTCAGGTTGTCTCGAGTACTGAAAATGGCCTGAGATGTCAGCCCCAACCCTCTATTCCCATTTGCATGCCTTAACCACTATCCGTACCAGTTAAATATCTAGCGCGGGGAATAGGCGTAGTGGCCGACATACAAAGTGATCTCGTCTGCGCGCGCCACGTACACGACGTGACCCTCCAAGCACAAGGGGGCTGGTGGGCAGCATGCATCTCATATGCGTGAGAAGGCCAGAGTTTCCGTTAAGAAGGAGCTATTGCAGGTTAAATTTCAGTCAACCAGTCGGTCGACCAAAATGGTCAATCATCTACGTGAGTGGTGCCAGACATGTGCTTGCGTTGTGTATTGTGTGATCATACATGTTGTAGGCGCTGGTGAGGAAAGATGTGGTGCTATGGTAAAGCCGGCGGTGTTCTGCCGCAAGTTTTCATTGAGGTGAATGTGGCCTAGTAGGCCCACGCGATGGCTGAATGTGCGGAGGCAGTGTGGGCAAATGAGGCGATGGCGTCTGGCGTATATCAGTGCTCCAGACACTAGTTCGCCAGTCTCTGTGCGATAGAATTCTCAGGCGGCCGGCCAGACCGATGCGTAAGATGAGCGTGAGTTCACAAAGAGTCGTAGCATCCAAAGATGTTGAAGGTAGCACACACGGGGTAATAGAAAGAGTTGTTAGGTGCATCTTACACCCATCCTAGCGACATGGTAAAAGAGGAATTTGACGAGCACAAGTATGCGTATAGTAGAAACAGAAGGGAATTTATATGTGCGGTAGTAGTTTATAGCACAAGAAAGGATGAGTTACATCTGGGAGACGATCCATCTGCCGACATGTCTGTGAAACAACCGATGAGGAATGCAGCGCTGTGGGCAGCTGCAAGGAAGAGTCGTGGAAGCTGCCGACGTAGAGAGTGAACGGGACGAACGTTGCGACAAGTGTTGCAGGGAGGGAGTCGACGGTTACGTGGGAAAAGTGCACCCACTATTTGCACTGACTCGCGATTACATAATCTCCATCCTGGATCCGCACCAAAAGTGTTCGGTCCACTCAAACAAGCAAGTCAAATTCGAGGGACTTTACAAAGTTGATTTTCTTTCCGAAAATCAGTATGAAAACAAGAAGGTCGTAGGTTGAAACGCAGAGTCTAATTCGGAAAAACGGTCACTTGAAAATCAAGTTGAAAAAGGGTGAAATAACATCTAACGGGCGGTGTAAATCAGAGGACTGTGGACAACCAGGTCTAGCTGTTTGCACAGACCAGGTTTCTCCCTTCGCACATAGTCTGCTTCCAAGTAGCGCAGTATTGGAATTGTTCTTCCGTGGACGAGAACTGGGAAGGCTGTTTTAGGCTCAACAGAATATCCACCACGAAGTACGTGATTAATTAAAGAGCACAGGAATTTGAATCCCGACGTCAAAAGCCACTTAGGCAAGGGCTC